ACACTCATTTGCTTCATTTGCTATATACACGACGAATTCCCATTTGGAATTTAACCAAATCCTCTATTACCCACATGAAATAATCAGTCAGGTTGCGAATGTTTCCAACCGAGTCATAACCCTGGAGGCTAGTGCTGAGTTGAGCAGGGTCCGTGGCCTGCAACAAACTCTCAAAGATGGGTTGTGCTATATCGTGTAAATGGAAAATGAAGAACGGTCTGATCAGCTGCCCGGTGGCGTAGAGGGTAGCACGCTTGCGTTCTGCCCACGAAGTCCCGGGTTCGATGGATTCGCACTGCTGATGAGACCCAACCAGGTCGAAACAGCTGTCCAGTGTTTCCGAGCTTTTCATTTCACGCTTCATTTGCTATAAACACGACGAATTCCCATTTGAAACTCATTTGATAACTGGTTTTATGTCACTCTAGCGTTTGTGGCTGGCCATGGTAAATCCAGAGCTCTGACTGACTGTTTTTGAACGCACAAGAACGGGGGGAGGGGTTGTTTAGCCGAATCGCGATCGCTTCGGTTTCTGACAGTAAGCGATGCTTAACTTGCTTCGATCTCACCCCGGGTGATCATGTAGATGGGCCTGACCGCTTCATTCATCCTGACACGATGATCGGTTTCGACCAAATGAGCCGTGATCGCCGTCCCCCTGGGTCTCGTCAATCCGCGACTAAGCCAGCTGGGGGTTGTGTTCTCGAATACGTTCGGTCATGTGTGAGAGGGAAGAGCGATTTTTGGGACTAACGCTCAATAGTCATAATATCGAAGGTTAGTGACATGTGCCTGGAACGGCACACGGCGTAGGGAACAGAAACCTAAGCGGTGGGGAGAACAACTGTTGTTGATGGCGAAAGTCGAGCACGGAAATCGGAATGAACTTGTTTTCCTCTACTTACAAACAGGTGTAGGAATCTGCGAACTACACCATATTTCAATCAAAGACCTTAATAAATGAAACTCGTCTTCTTTTTAGATTGATTTGCTGAGAACACGCAGACAGTCCAAGTGCTTCCAGATGGTATGGTTGGCTAATTAAATTGTGGAAACGAAAGAGAGTTTGCCCGAATCAAAAGGATCGGACTGACAAAGCACAGCAGAGAACAAAAGACAACTTCCAAATGAAAAAAATATTTCACTTACCGGCTTTCCAAAGGTATGACCAATTAAAGACCATCAAGGTGAGTCCTGCATGCATCAAGGCAAAAGGCCGATCGTAGCTGTTCCGAGTACTGACAACCATGCGTGGTATTCTGTTTTCGCTTAAGGGCATTCCGGAAAGGACACAACAGTTATCTAAATTCCACCTGGTAACGTGCGAGTCGCGTACTGAAATGTTCAGGAGAAAGGATTAATCTTTAGTGTTTGATGTCAAACGAGTAACAATGTTCATCAATACGTGTCCTAGCCAGCGAAGTCTACTAATCTGAATTCGGTGTGCTAGCAGAGTTATCCCTGATAGACTAGCAAACACATGACGGCTTACCTCCAGATTACTAACCCGTTCGCTCTATCCCACGCAGGGTAAACTACGTAAACAGTGATATTTGAAAACTTCTAGTGGATGTATATCTACTGGCGAATTCAAGGTTTCACAAACATAAAGCAGAACTGAACGAACGGTAGCACAATATAAACGATCTTTCGACTTCAGTGAAACGTCGCATCACCGTCAAAGGCGCTTCACGTTTGCGTACACTTCTCGAGTCTTGGGAATACGGAAGGTCATCTGCTTTGATGCGCTACCGCCATTCGTCAAACGAATACCTAAGTAAGAAAAGCAATACATTAAACAATTTCTGGTCATCAAGTTTCTGTGTTGGACTTGGTGATACCCCTTTGGAAGCATCACTTTAAACTTTAAAGATGCAAAGCACACAGTGAATGTTGCAACAGCACTTGTTAGCCCATCAACTGCACGTTAAGCGACCTCCATACATTCGAACAGACAGACGATGTCGTCGGCGTACTTAAAATCACTCAGCTTTTCTTCAGCTACCCATTCAATACCTACGTTCTGGAAATCACTTATTGTGTCCTCTAGTATCTCGTCTATGACGAAATCGAACAGGAATGGCGAAAGAGGACATCCTGGACGTTAAGCCGACACCTGGGGTTAGAACTAGGTTCGTGAACCACTGGCAGTTCACCTAGTGGAGCTGGCCAAAACCCTGATTTCAAACCAACCGTAAGGAGGCGTATAAACCATGCAACTTCCTAGTTGTGGCAGTGGTCACCCGCTTGATTGGGCATCCAGGTGTATCGGGCGCCTTGAGCGTGTGATCCCATCCAAAGGGTATATGATCCGATGAACTGGACACCGGCCCTCAATGGATTGCGGTTTTCTCACACCGCCCAGCTGTCTCGCGGGTTAGGCTTTGGTTACCCAAAGGCTCTGGTTGTGGATTCTTCAACAAAATTCACCTGCATTGGCCTTGGCAACCTGGCAGTATTCCGTCCACATGCAAATCATGGAACATTTTTCTTTTTCATAAAGATTACTGCACACAGTTTGGATTCAGATCTGTGTAAAAAAAATATATGTATACAGCATGAATGCTTCTCCCGGAGGAGTACTTTTATAATTTAAACTTTTTTGGTGCTAATCGTCCACACCCAGCTGGCGGTCGCTGATTGGTCCATTCCGTAAATTTCCTCATTTTTTGCATCAATTCCCAAGGTCTCTGTGTCCGGAGACCAGAACAGTATTAAGCAGCATATTTCTCCACTGTAAATTTGACTTGCTTTCTGTGTCAAGTACACGTTCGCTGTGCAACATATGTGTTCCGGCTTACGTAGCTGGGAGAAGGCTACTAGTGCTCGTGCTGTGATCGTACTCGTGGGGCAAGACGATTAGTGCGGCCGTTGAGATACGCGCTCCGTAGTGTTCAGACCTACCTCGTGTCTCTGTGTGCGTTCGCGCTTTGTGCCATATACTGCACGTCGTCCGTGAGTGTCACTATCATTGTGTTGTGCTGTGTACCATCGACTCCACTCCGGGCACGTTGAGTCTCACGCCGGTCTGTGTCACTGTGTATTCTCCTACCTTGTGTGTCATCGTGTGTTATCTTACTGTACTACATTGTGATTGATCGGGAACGACACAACAAATACACGACACCGTACACGTGCTTCGGTTACAGATGAGATAATCTAACTAGCATCAGGCCAGCTGAACTGCTCGCCGAATTATTGCGCCCAGTAATCAAGCCGCTGTTTTCTAATGTGAATAGTTTATCTACTCTTATCCCACGTCCTGTTACTGAGTACACTACCTACCGAACAAGCTTTTTCGTGGTAAATTATTTAGTGCTCTTTGGCAACAACCTTAGGCGACTGAATACCTGTTACTGATAAAAAGAAGTGGCAAAGGGAGAGGGTTGGGCACGGAAGACGGAGTTAAACAAAGGTTGACAAGTCTAAGCAGTGGTCCACTTGTCACTACCCACTCCGCTCGATGCAACAGACAGCGTGATTCCGATTATCTAGCCAAAAGACGTTTTCAGGGTATCTACTGGAGGAATGAGAGCAGATTTATCGATTAGAAATATTCGCATTTGAGGGAGCTATCGAAAGTGGAATGTTTGCAATAGTCAGAAATAATTTGTTAGACGAGCAGTTACTCTCTAAGTTCAAAATCAAAAACATAAACCGATATCGAGAAATGATATCAATAGCATTGAGAAATTATTTGGAAAAGTAGACAATGCAATGAATAAACAGTAGACGACCAACGTACGATACGATTTTACTTGACGAAAAGTAATTTGTTTGCAACGGTCTAAGAAAATAATAATACTGTCTCCTACTTTTCGTCGCCACTGGAGTGTGGAAGGCTAACTTGAACCTAGATGTTTGTGCGGCTGTTGATTGTTAAATAAATACTGTAAAAATTCCACTCAATGGAGAGGATGCGCGAAAGAGAATGAGGTTTGGTGACCTCCGCTGGGATGAATGTATTACCCGTTTCCAGATTACATCGCCAAATCATTAAACGCATATCCGCGAGCAGAAGGTAAGTGTATAGGTCCGAATCCTCGACATAGCCTAGATCAGTGCCTCGACAATTTAGATGACTGAGGGAGTAGGATTCCAATGGTTCGAACCTGATGAAATGATGGTTGAAGAGTATCGGGGTAAGCAAAAACACGTGATTCAGTAAAGGTGATGAATGACCAGAGAAAAAACGAGTTGTTGATAAAAAACAAAAAGGAGCATCACTAAAGCATTGTCTGCTGAAAGGGCTTTGAATTATTATGGCAGTGTTTTCATCAGAGTAAATTTGTGACACAGGGTTAAAAACTAAATTAAATTAAAACATCAAGAACGAGAAGTTCTTATACAGCTTTACGGAACAATGTGATTACCAATTGGTGGTTGCTTCTCAAAAGTTCTTGCCTGTATTTTAGGGCATTTGAGACGGAAATCAATGATATGATGTATCTGTGTGTGTATGATATTATTCGATCATCGCGACTGTGATTAAACGACTCGGGTAGCTGACAACAGTATGCTCCACACTGAGGTTTCAACAGTACCACCACCTGACTTTACTGATATGCAGTCTTTATCGTTCATGCATACTTTTCCGTTCGCAAATTCAAACACACTACAACCCCTCATAATGAGGTCATGGGTGACTCAGGTCTCCATCATCGATTGTTGATTGGGGTAGAACCTCATGATCATGGGACATAAACATCTATACCATAGGACACTGCAAGTCAAACAATGGAAGACAATAATGATGACTTGAAGCACACAGGTATCGGAATAAGTATTTGATAACATTAAGTTTTAGTTCCAATTTCAACAACCACTAGCCTTGAACTTTCGCTGGATGGCTGCCTTTCGATTACCCAATTGGTCAAACAATGGTTAGAAAGCAACAGTGAAACGCTCGGGCAGTACCAAAGTGAAAGTAAAAAAAATCCAAGCAGATGAACAGAGTGAAGAAACGGAGAAGGTGCGGGAGCGACACTGTTTGAGACAATACAATTAACACTTAACTACTGCTTCAGGAAAATCAAGAGACGGATAGAACCCAGCATGGAATCTAACGAGTCAAAAATGAGGACCGAATATGTTACCTTGGTGGTAGCGAATCCACATTGGGTTGTGTCCACTTCCACCAAATTATTCGAGCTTGATCGTCTACTACCGATTTTCCTCGACATGGGATCATTCGTTCATAGGTGACCAACCAGGATCCATGGCGGTCCGACGTGACTGCAGCAAACAGCAAAACTTCGTTATACACAACAGGAATGCCGGAGCCAGAGGCACGAGGTACAGTAGACTGACGAGTGACATCCAACTGGTCATGAGGAAGACGAGCACAAGGAACGAGAATGAGAATTTTTGTTTGCTGGCTTGCTTGCTTTCACAACTGAAGAACATCGGGTTAAGTTACATCGCACTCCACTGATCAAAATCAAATTTTAATTATTTGAGTGACAGACCATGAGAGAAAAGTGCTATCGTTCATGAGGTCGATTTTATCGCCACATCTTTTCACTGTTCACAGATTACTTTTGGCACCGAGGTGCTCCCAGTGGACATCAGACACAACCGTATCAAACTGCATGAAAGGCTAGCTAAAGCAGGTTGAGGGTAGCTGAGGTACCCGAAAGCATTTCAGTGGGACAGAACAGTACCCGTTTGCAGTTCGTGCTTGGTTTGGCAAAGATCAGATGTGCGACTGAGGCTATTTAGTATCGCATTATAGTGAGTTGCCAGTCAATACTCAGGAAACAGCAACAGGCATTCGTAATTTACTTCCTTAACATGCTCCTAAAAACGTGACGATATGCCTTTTCTCTGGGTGGACGCTGAAATGCAATGATTCATAATAAATAATCTCACACTTACTCAGAGACACATAATACAAAGAATCAGGACGTGAAGAAATGAACGACTCAACTGTTCACCGGTTCTTCACTACGTTTGGGAAGACACCATGGTCATTCAGATTCAAATGCACCTATTGATTATCGACANCAGTGAGGCTCCGGTGATCATTTATCCGACCGTACTACATTGATCACCTCAATTGTTCTGTTAGTCCTCACGCTTCTCCGCTGGTTCGGGACGATCATAGTAGGCTTCCTTCGTATGAGCTATTTAATTAAAACACACTACAAAGATTGTTATGTCCTACGCGAAGTAAGCCGGATTCAGAATGCTCATGTGAGGTTCGGAAAAATTGATTAACCGTCGCCCCGATAGATGCAACTCGTTTTTCGTCACGGGCTGCAGTCCGGATGTAATGAAAGATAGATTTTACCAAAAGCTACGGCACCTCCTACGTAAAACGAACTGGGATGATATTACGATTTTAGCGGCTAATATAAAATAGAACTGGTGAGGTGCATTCAAGACTGCCTATCGTACAGGAGGAGTCCTATCGACTCCGACCACGCATTAATTCACATTAGAACAAAAAACAACGATAAATATACTGAGGTAACTAACCGCCTTTCGAAACGCGCTTGATAGAAAGCTAGAGGTAACCCATCCGATAAAATCAATCGGCATTATTGGTTAATCAAGTACACTGAGTTCCGTTGGCTCAGCGAGTTGTGATTTGAGGCGTTATCCTTTTTTCTTTTCCATTTTACTTTCTTTTATTGAACATGAAATGGTACAACTTTCACAAATAGGAAGAAGTCAATAAAAGGACTGCGATACAACACAGAATCAGGAATTCCGACGGTGTTAGTGGGATTTGATCACACCTCCTCCGAGGCAATAATATGGTGACGTTGCCACATGCGTTGTGACAGCACGGTTTTCTATTGAGTCTGCACATCTTTATTAAACAGACCGGGTAGTCGAGACCAGTAGCGAAAATTAAACTCACAGTGGGATAACGCAAAGACCGCGAAATGGGGTGATCTCAACGTGCATACGGGATGTCCACACAGTGAGTTCCAGTACGCTGTTCCAACTCATGCGGGTACCGCTGGAAGAGCTGTGGGTACCAGAAAAACGATCTGGAAAGCTGACGGCTCGCTTATTCACATTCGACAAGGAATTCTGGCACCCTGGGTGGACCAATGAAGGTACAGCTTGTTTCACTTAATTTTATAGCTGTTTCGGAGTGCTTCTCATGGTTGGTTCCGATATAACAACCCGGAAATCTGCAGAGTCTCGAGCTCTAGGGTGTTACAAAGCGACTGTATCTGAAGATGGCGGAATAAAGCCTGCTTCCAAGTTGAGGAACGGGGGATGAGTAGCCGTTGGTAAGAAATGATGGTCAAGGCTCAGTTAGCAGTGCGAGTGATTTACGATCTGTCTTGAAATCCCGTGTCCAATAAAACAGACAAACACAAACAAACAAAGAAAAACACCAAAACGTGTGCGACGAAACAAACAAGCACTGGTAGAACCGCTGCAGCACAAATTCGACGATGTCGGCAAATGCTAGTGAGCACTCTGTATGCGTGTCAATAGTTCATCGTGTTTTCACTAAGGGAAATGCAGCTGCCCAGTTAGCCAAATTCATCCATTTTCTATATTACTTGCGCAGTTAAAGTGAGGTTGGGGGCAGGACCAATTCATTTGTAACAGCTCTGGCACTTTGGAGGTGCGAAGCGCATACAAAACCTAGCCAAAATGACAATCAGACCATCCAGAAAAGCTACCGAATTACTTGGATCTTCACGTAGTATCACATGCATACTCTAGATCAGATAATTTGTCAGTTGGGAGCATATTGATACTGCAATCCTTGCACAAAGACAGGATGGTTTTTAGGATCACATTACGCAGTCACCGTTCATGTGCAACAGACAATAAAAACTGATTCCACTGTGGTTTTCGTAACAGTATCTATCCCCTTGTTTTCAAAGTGGTCAGGTGACCGACTCACAGCATTCAGTGGGCCCTCGCTCAGTTTCTCATATTAAAACTATGAGTGTAGTAAACCCCGAGATCACGGTTGCAACTCCATCCTTGAAAACCGCTGGCGAGAATCTATCTGAATCAGAGAGCTTTGGAAATGACTTATTTCCCGGGTGACAGTAGTTGG